TCACCAGCCACAGGAGTAGTGCTTCACTGGGCGGAACCAGAATCCACTAAACTACTCACCATACACAGTAACAAGAGCACACTTTTCACTTTGAATTTTTGTAATTTTTTATTGCATTAATCATCTGATCAGACAAACCAGATCTGCTTGCCATGTGCCCTACATTCTTACAGGTATTGAGGTCTCCATGAGAAAACCCCCTCAAGCATGTCACAAGGATTCCATGTGAGTTATGACAAATTAGAAATCAAGTGGCCGTACTCAAAAAGGAGGCAAAGCTGGTTTCCATCTTTATTCAATGGAGAGTGAAAAGGAGAAGATGCATTCATTGATAAAGTCTATTCCTGGCTAATTATTTAGCAACTGATATGACACGGATTTATCAACTGTGTAGAATGTCAAGTGTCGCAACCAGGTGGTGACTGTGAGCTCTGTAGAATGACACAAACTAAATAAAACAAGGGATCAGGAAAGGAGGAAAGTCAAAGAGCAGGAGGGAGAAAGAAAGGAAGAGGAATGGAGAGAAGGAAAATTGAAAAAATAAGTTGACAAAAAGACCATTTTTAAATAAACAAGTACTGATAGCACCTCTCTTATTCGACTAAAAAAACTCCCTTTCCAACAATGCCTCTTTGTTTTAAATGATTTCTTTTCACAGAGGAGAAAAAAAAAATTCCCTCTGGAGAGGAGAAAGAGGCCAACTCTTAGAAACAATAAGCCAGATTTTTATCTTAAGTCATACTGTGCTCAAGATCCTCTAGGTAATTTTGAAATAATCACTTCCCTATGTCCTATAGCATTGGAAAGACTATGTAAATGTTCTCCATTCGCCCTGCTCTCTGGTCTTGGATTTATCTACTAATATAGCCAGGAAATTACCTTTGACATCCCCTGAAATCTGGCTTTCTGCTAGACTGTCATTCTTTATCCTCAGATCCTGAAACAGCCATAGAAAGGGAACCCCAAAATGCAAGTGTGCACACACACACACACAAACACCGCCTTTCTGCTTTCCTAAATCTAAAAGGCATAGTAGCACCATAAATTACAAGAAAAGAAAATTAATTTTGAGCTAAATTTTCTCATTCTCTAATATCAGGTTTCGGTTAGATATTAATATTTAAAATATCTTCTAATACATTGTTCTACCTTCCATTTGAGGAAAGGACCAAATGTAAACACAAATATGGTCCCCTTCTCTTTGTAACCTTTCTTTTCTTTCCATTTTTTTTATAGCTGCCAACTTACAGAACTTCTGCCTCTTAAATCAAATATTACTTAAATTCTATTTCAGCACCTTCTGGGATGACAAAATTCCAAATACGTAATAAAAATATATTGCCATTAATAGCTAGGTCTTTGGCAGAGTTCCTGGCCTGTTTTATTTACTTACCCAGTGCCGGTGTGATTTTCTACTTTGGGCACAGCTGTGAACAGGACTATTAATAATCAGGCTGCATGAAAAAGGAGTCAGTTCAGAGCTCTGTAATTCAATGATCTTTCTAACGTTTTATAAATTATAGCTGTTCTGAGTGAGTCATTCACAGAGTTCGATTGACCCATTAAGACCTCTGATTTTTTTTAATGGAGTCTCCCTCTGTTACTCAGGTTAGAGGGCAGTGGCCTGATCTCAGCTCACTGCAAACTCTGCCTCCCAGATTTAAGCAATTCTGCCTCAGCCTCCCAAGTAGCTGGGACTACAGGTGCCTGCCACCACGCCCAGCTAATTTTTGTGTTTTCAGTAGAGAAAGGGTTTCATCATGTTGGCCAGGCTGGTCTGGAACTTCTAACCTTACGTAATCCACCTGCCTTGGCTTCCCAAAGTGCTGGGATTACAGGCATGAGCCACTATAACTGGCTTCTGGTTTTTGTGGGTTTTTTTTTTTTTTAGAAAAAAACAAACAAAACTGTGTGGTTCATAAATAAAACTACTTTGGAAAGAGGGCAACTGGCACACAATCCTGAGAGCCTGTAAGCACCATTAACCCTAGGCCTGCAAGGAAATTTACAGAAGTCAACAACATGAAGGGGCCTCCTCAGTGAGCACAAAGTAAGTATAAATAAACTACAGTATAAAATAATTCAGTAAAGACTGGATCATCCTAGTTTGTTCCAGGATAAGATCACCACAGTATTTCACAGTTTCTTAGAAAAGCATTGCTATACTGCTACTATTGATAGTTTCTTTATCAAGATTTCATCTGTACACTGAAAGACTCAGAAAGAAACGTCATCAAATTAAGTCCATTATTTATTTTAGTCTCTCACACAAGTGGCATCGATTCACTGAACCTGACTGTGGGAAATAAGCATGGTGGAGAACAGGCGTGGTGGCTCATGCCTGTAATCCCAGCACTTCAAGAGGTTGAGGCGGGTGGATCACCTGAGGTGAGGAGTTTGAGACCATCCTGGCCAGTATGGCAAAACACTGTCTCTACTAAAAATACAAAAATCAGCCAGACACAGTGGCGCACACCTGTAATCCTAGCTACTGGGGAGACTGAGACACGAGAATCACTTGAACCCAGGAGGCGGAGGTTGCAGTGAACCGAAATCACACTATTGCACCCCAGCCTGGGTGACACACGGAGACTGAGTGAAAAATTTTAACCAACCTCACTCCCATTACTTTCCTGTATTCAGTGTCATAATCTGACATTTAAGTTCTCTCTCTGCATTTCCCACATCAACCATTCCAGAGCCACCACCCACTCCACCACAGACATACTTGCTTATGTGCTCAAGAGCTTAGCTGCTCTAGGCATACTTGTGACCAAACGGATCTAAGGAGAGACAGTTGGTGTCTGATTTCACCAGGTGAAGGAAAACACTTGAGATTATCCATAAACCAATCCATTCCATAATGTCTCCTGCAGGAACTTTTTCAATATTCTAATCAGGATTACTGTTTTCTTCCTTTATGCACACTTAGCCCTTTGTAACTATTATTGACTTTATATTATTTTCTCTCTGTCTCCCTCCACCCCAACTGAAGGCTCTTCAGGTATCAGGATACATAGGCGAACCATCACAGTGCACTACAATGGCTCTCAAAGTGTGTCCCTGAACCAGTGGCATCAGAATCCCTGGGAACTTGTTAGAAAAGCAAAATTTCATGCCCTACCTCAGACCTACTGAATCGGGGAAGGTCTGGGGATGGGACCCCAGCAGCCAGAGTTTTAGCAAGCCCTCCAGGTGATTCTGATGCTGGCTCAAAATGGAGAACTACTGGTATATCGGAACAAGTATGGCTTTTGGAAAGAGATAATCTAAGGCTTTTAAATTCCTACTGCACCCCTTATTAGCTGATGACATTAATCAAGTTTTTTGCTGTCTCTGAGTTACCTCTACTCACCTATGAAATTCATGACTTATAAAAACATTGATGAGGGGTGGATTTTTTAAAAAATAGCAGTCTTTTCAAAAAGTTGTGCTGGGACAATGGGATATCCATCTGCAAAAGACGGAAGGTGGACCCTCTACAAGCCTAGCCCATAAAAAAATTAACTCAAAATGGATCCAAGATTTAAATGTGAGAGTTAAAGCTATAACACTCTTAGAAAAAAACACAGGTGTAAATCTTTGTGACCTTAGATTATGCAATGGTTTTTTTAGATATGACACAAAGAGCACAAGAAACACAAGAAAAAATACATAAATCGGACCACATCAAAATGTAAAACGTCTATACTTGAAAGGGCGCTATCAAGAAAGAAGACAACTCACAGAATGGGAGAACATTTTTGCAAATCATGTATCTGATAAGGAACTTGGTTCCAGAATACATAGGGAGTTCTTACAACTCAACAATAATAAGACAAATTGCCCAATTTAAAATGAATAGACAGCCCCAGATGCAGTGGCACATGCCTGTAGTCTCAGCTACTTGGGAGGGTGAGGCAAGAGGATCCCCGGAGCCAGGAGTTTGAGATACAGAGGAACTCTGTCTCTAGAAAGAAAATGGGCTGGGCACGGTGGTTCACGCCTGTATTCCCAGCACTTTGAAAGGCCAAGACGGGCAGATCACCTGAGGCCAGGAGTTCAAGACCAGCCTGGCCAACACAGCAAAACCCTGTCTCTACTAAAAAAAAAAAAAAAAATTGGCCAGGTGTGGTGGCAGGTGCCTGTAATCCCAGCTACTTGGGAGGCTGAGGCAGGAGAATTGCTTGAACCTGGGAGGCAGAGGTTGCAGTGAGCCAAGATCATGATGCTACTGCACTCCAGTCTGGGAGACAAAGCAAGACTCCATCTCAAAAAAAAAAAAAAAAAAAAAAAATGGAGCCTGGCATGATGCTTATAATCCCAGCAACCCACTTGGGTCACTTGGGAGGCTGAAGTGGCAGAATCCCTTGAGCCTAGGAATTTAAGACCAGGCTGAGCAACACAGCCAGACCCAATCTCAAAAAAAAGAAAAGAAAAGAATAGAAATTTCTCCAAAAAAGATATACATGGTCAATAAGCACATGAAAAGATGCTTAATGTCATGAGTCATCAGGAAAATGCAAATCAAAACAGTATTAAAATATCACTCCACACCCAGTAGAATGGCTATAATCTCAAAATGACAGCAAAGAACAAGTTGGCGAGGATGTAGAGAAATTAGAAACTTTCTACACTGCAGATGGGAATGTAAATGGTGCAGCCATTTTGGAAAACAGCTTGGCAGTTCCTGAAAATGTTAAACAAATAATTGCAATATGACCCAGCAATTCCACTGCTAGGTACATACCCAAAAGAAATAAAAACACGTATCTACACAAAAACTTGCCCATGAATGCTCACAGCAGACTTGTTCATAATAGACAAAAAATGGAAACAACCAGGATCTCTAGCAACTGGTGAAAGGAAAAATAAAACATGGTAAATCCACACAATGGAGTACTAATACATGCTACAACATGGGTGAGCCTTGAAAACGTTATGCTAAGTTAAAGGAGTCAGTCACAAAAGACCACAGATTGCATGATTTGATTTATACGAAATGTCTAGGATAAGCAAATCTATTGAAACAAAAAGTAGATCAGTCTGGTTGCCTAGAGTTATTGGAGCAGGATTGGGAGAAAATGGGAAAATGAGGAGTGATTGCTAATGGATGTGGGGTTTCTTTTTCAGGTGATGATATAATTGTTCTAAAATTGTAGCAATGGCTGCACAACACTGTGAATATACTATAAGCCATTGAAATTTACTTTTGATTGTTTGAACTATTTGGTATGTGAATCCTATCTCAATGACCACAAAGCTTTTCAGCCATTAAAATATTTAATCAAAGAGGCAAGCAGGAAGCTTAAGAATAGTTCAACTCTGAAATCTGAGGAAAAAACTGTGAAGTCAGTTCATTTGCATTCTCTTTGGTTATAATAAATCAAAAACGCTAATACAAAAGAAAAGAATGAAATTAAAGAGAAGCGCTCTCCACTGCTGTCCTCTTCAGCTCAACATGGTGGCCTACCGGGTGACTGGCAACCTCAGTCACTTCTCTGCCTTCAGAATCCTCCACTCCAGAGGTTACATATGCCGCAATTTTATAGGGTCTTCTGCTTTGCTGACCAGAACTCATATTAACTATGGATCAAAGAGTATGTGGCAGTGATTCAAATTAACTCTCCCAATTCAAAGGTAATACACTGAATAAAGAGCTGCATTCAGAGTTCATAGATGTTATGAATGAAATCTGGGCTAATGATCACATCAGAAGTGCCGTCCTTATCTCATCAAAGCCAGGCTGCTTTATTGCAGGTGCTGATATCAACCTGTTAGCTGCTGCAAGATCCCTCAGAAGTAACACAGACATCACAAGAAGCGTAGAGAACATTTGAGAAAGGAAAAGTCCACAAACCCTGTTGTAGCTGCCATCAGTGGATCCTGCCTGGGAGGAGGACTTGAGCTTGCCATTTCCTGCCAATACACAATAGCAACAAAAGACAGAAAAGCAGTATTTGGTGCCCCTGAAGTCTTGCTGGGTATCTTACCAGGAGCAGGAGGCACACAAAGGCTGCCCAAAATGGTGGATATGCTTGTTGCTTTTGACATGATGCTGACTGGTCGAAACATTAATGCAGACAAGGCAAAGAGAATGGGACTGGTTGACTAATAGGTGGAACCCGGGGCCAGGACTAAAACCTCCAAAGGAACGGACAATCGAATACCTAGAAGTTGCAATTACTTTCGCCAAAAGACTGGCTGATAAGATCTCTGCAAAGAGAGATAAAGAATTGGAGATTGGTGGGAAAACTGACAGTGTACACCATAGCTATTCCGTTTGTCAGGCAACAGATTTACAAAAAAGTGGAAGAAAAAGTGTGAAACAGACTAAAGGCCTTTATCTTGCACCTCTGAAAATAATTAATGTGGTCAAGACTGGAATTGAGCAAGGGAGTGATACCGGTTATCTCTCTGAATCTCAGAAATTTGGAGAGATTGCAATGACCAAAGAATCAAAGGCTTTGATGGGACTCTACCGTGGTCAGGTCCTATGCAAGAAGAATAAATTTGGAGCTCCACAGAAGGATGTTAAGCATCTGGCTATTGTTGGTGCAGGGCTGATGGGAGCAGGCATCACCCAAGTCTCCATGGATAAGGGGCTAAAGACTATACTTAAAGATGCCATACTCACTGGGCTAGGCCGAGGACAGCAACAAGTGTTCAAAGGATTTAATGATGAAGTGAAGAAGAAAGCTCTAACATCATCTGAAAAAGATTCCATCTTCAGCCACTTGACGGGCCAACTTGATTGCCAAGGTTTTGAAAAGGCCAACATGGTGACTGAAGCTGTGTTTAGGGACCTTAGTCTTAAGCACAGAGTGCTAAAGGAAATAGAAGCGGTGATTCCAGGTCACTGTGTTTTTGCCAGTAACACATCTGCTCTCCCAATCAGTGAAATTGCTGCTGTCAGTAAAAGACCTGAGAAGGTGATTGGCATGCACTACTTCTCTCTCCTAGACAAGATGCAGCTGCTGGAGATTATCACAATCGATAAAACTTCCAAAAACACCAGTGCTTCAGCTGTAGCAGTCGGTGTCAAGCAGGGCAAGGTCATCATTGTGGTTAAGGATGGACCTGGCTTCTATACCACCAGGTGCCTTGCACCCATGATGTCTGAAGTCATCGGAATCCTCCAGGAAGGAGTTGACCCAAAGAAGCTGGATTCCCTGACCACAAGCTTTGGCTTTCCTGTGGATGCCACCGCAGTGGCGGATGAAGTTGGTGTGGATGTAGCACAACATGTGGCGGAAGATATGGGCAAAGCCTTTGGGGAGCAGTTTGGAGGTGGAAACCCAGAACTGCTGACACAGATGGTGTCCAAGGGCTTCCTAGGTCGTAAGTCTGGGAAGGGCTTTTACATCTATCAGGAGAGTGGAACGAGTAAGAATTTGAATTCTGACATGGATAGTATTTTACTGAGTCTGAAGATGCCTCCTAAGTCTGAAGTCTCCTCAGATGAAAACATCCAGTTCTGCCTGATGACAAGATATGTGAATGAGGCAGTCATGTGCCTATAAGAGGGGATGTTGGCCAGACATGCAGAGGGAGACATCAGAGCCATCTCTGGGCTCAGCTTCCTGCCTTGTCTTGGAGGGCCTTTCCGCTTTGTGGACCTGTATGGCACCCAGTAGATAGCGGACCAGCTCAAGAAGTATGAGGCTGCCTGTGGAAAACAGTTCATCCCATGCCAGCGGCTAGCTGACCACGCTAACAGCCCTATAAAGAAATTCTCCCACTGAGCAGGTCTCACGCCTCGCCCGGTCAGTGCACTAACCCCAGCTACCGGCTGTGCTGGTTCTCCAACAGAGTGGTGTCTAGATTTATCAAAGGAAAGAAAAGGAAGACAAACTCTGGCATTGGGATTGCTCCCTGATTAAACTGCCTTCAGCCAAGACTACCTCTCCCTCCTGGTGAAGTTTGACTGTGAATTAGAGTTTGCACTTCCTACTGGAAGGTGGAATCCACTATGCTCACTGTAAAAGCCCCAAGGCCTAGAGCGGCAGCTAAGAGCCATCTGGAGCCATCTCTGCCTGTTCCTCCCAGGAGGCCAGTGTGGCCAAGGGTGGTGAGGGCAATTCTGCATCCAGCCAAACACATAACAATAAAAACCAAACTCTGTTAAAAAAATTAAATTAAAAACATGAACTACAAGAGGCTTTCAACATCCTCTTTTTATGTTGTTAGCAAACCAGAAAACACATTTCCCATGGCATATGTTACAATTTAAATTTTGTTCAACAATTAAATCATTGTCACATTAATAGTGGTAGTAGGATTTTAGAGCTGGGGCCCCAATGATTAACTATTCCAACTTCCAGATTTTACAAACATAGCCTTCTGTAACATTTTTCATACCACTCCACACTGCTTCCCATCAGTGTGCAGGCATTTTTATTTAATGCAATTCTAAAGAACTGTTTTCTGGAACATGTGTTTCATGGCCTCAAGAATATGATTTTTAAAAATTTTTTACATTGCTATCTTTTCACATTTGGTGACATGAGCCTTTCTTTGTTTCAATGACAGGTGGTGATGGTTTCCTTTGTGATACACACATCACGAAAACAGTCGCCTTCAGTTTTTGCTTTTTAATAGCTTGCTTATATTAAGTTGTACAGAGCTATGAAAGGATCAGATAGCAATCAAAATACTCTTCCTAATCCTCGTTAATTTCTAGTTGATTCCCAGTGTTGACTTTTTGAATCTGAGTTCAAATTTGGTGTGCCTGCATTTTAGTTCAGAACCAGAAATTTCCCAGTGTTCGATTGTTTCAAATCCAGAAAAAGGGAAGAAGAGTCTGGCATTTTACATTCAGATTTCAAAACAACAATCTATTTCCAAAGAAAAAGTATCTTAAAAATATTTTTTAAAAACAAGGGTAGTTTTCTCATTTCTGTTTTTCTACTTGCCACATTCCTCAGGTTTTCATATTGACTCCTCTTCAGGGGAGAGTAAATCTTTCTGTGACATATTTACAGGTTTATGTTTTAATTTACATGGTGCATTAGGCCATTCTTGCATTACCATAAAGAAATACCAGAGACTGGGTAACTTATACAGAAAGGAAGTTTAGTTGGCTCATGGTTACGCAGGCTGTACAAGCATGGTGCTGGCATCTATTCGGCTTCTGAGGAGGCCTCAGGGAGCTCTTACTCATGATAGAAGTGGGAGCATGCATGTCACATGGAGAGAAAGAGAGCAAGGCAGGGGAGGTGTCACACACTTAATCAGATCTTACGAGAATTCACTCTTCACCAGAGGATGGCGTCAAGCCATTCATAAGGAATCTTTCTATATGACCCAAACACCTCCCAACAGGCCCCATCTCCAACACTGGCCATTATATTTCAACATGAGATTGGGCAGGAACAAATATCCAAACTATATCACACGGTGTCATGTAACAGGCCAGAATCACTAGAAACACCAACATCCTTTAAGACTGAATTATGCATCTCAGTAATTCTATGTAACTATGAGAATCATAAAGGTTATAAATGGGACCAGTTATTTATAAAATTCATTCAAAGATCTGAAGAGGTTAAGTAAGCATCTAAGCAAATACTGAGAGAATCAGGCTGAAAATGTTGGCCACCATTATTATTAGCACATTTTACTTCTCTTTCACAAATAAATTGGTACAAAACAGTAGTGGCTTCTTGATCCATAAAGAAGCTTTAGGACATCTTTATTAAATATACCTTTTTGATGTAAATATTTTACAACCTTCTGAAGAAAGAACTGATACACAAATAAAATAATCTGTTCATTTATCACCTTTCCCTGGTTATCCTTTCCTGTTCATTCCATTGTCACCACACCCTTCCAAGTCCTCCTCAAATTATGCCAGTATTACTTTAACAACCTTTTGCCCAGCCTTCCCGCCTACTTTTAACACATTTGGCTTAATGTTAAAATAACTAATTTTGCTACAACACCACTTTCCACAGAATCATTCCATGCTTACAAGACTGCAGAAGCCCCTGTTACCCACCATAGTATCTAAATTCCTCTGTCCAGCTTTCAGGGTGTGATGTATTGTGGTATCACCCAATCTTTCCAAAAGTATTTCATGTTCCCCCATACATGAACCCTCCTCCACTCAGGAAGACAGATGTTCTACAAGACAAGAAATACCAGGAGGAGAATAAGGTTTGGGAAATAATAATAATTTCCACTATTCATGAAGTGTATGTTGTGTGCCATGAATTGTGCTGAGCACATTACATGTGCTACTTCATTTTACCTGCACATAAACCTTATGTGACAGGTGTTATGATTTTGCAGAGTGGAAGCTGAGCCATAGAGACTTTCTTCTTTAAGATCATTAAGCTATTAAACGACAGAGCTAGCAGCCTTATGTCTCACTCCAATGCTCAAGTTTTTGTCCACATGTTAAGTTGCACTTACAGTAAAGGTGTACTAGGCAGGTGGATATGCCAATCTGAAGCTCGGGGGGGAGAAACAAGGGTTATATTTTTCCATCACTGGCTTCTAGTTAACTGCATCTGTTGTTATGAATGAGCTTGTCTATGGAAAATGTGTGTAACGAGGACCAAGAACAGAACTCTAAGCAATGGCACCACTTACATAGTGGAAAAAAGAGAAAGCCTCAGGAAAGACTGAGAGGGTGTCAGGAGAACCAGAAGAATTATCCAGCACAAATCAAAGAACCAGAGTTTCAAGACACACTAAAGGAGAATAATCAGCGCTATAAAGAAAAAAATATCAAATAAGGTCAAGTAAGATAAAGATTGAAAACTGCTAATTAGAATTAGTGGTTAAGAGCTGGGGTAACTCATAATTTATCATCCAGAGCAGGACAGTTTTGAGGATGAAAGAGGGCTCTATTAACAAATACCCCAGAAACACTGAATATGGTGCAAACTGAGACAGAAAGTAACCCTATTAAGAAGTCACTAGTGCCCTCTGTGAAAACCATTTGAAAAGAGTAATGCAGTGACCGCCACAAGGATGTGAGTTCAGAAATGAATGTGTGTTGAAAATAATATGTAATCTTTCAAAAAGCTTATTTTATTCCTTCTTTCCTGCCACTGCTTCACTTGACTAGGCTTTAAAAAAGAAAGGCTTAGTTTGATGAATGGGTGAGAAAAATGGTGAGTATTAGAGGTGAAACCACCCTTCACGTACTCCTTATCCATTTGCTTGACTTCTTCCTCTTGACTACTGAAACTACTTCCCCGAATGTCCCCAGTGACTTCCAATCAGTGCTGGGAGTGAATGACCTTTCCTGTATCCTAAACTTCGACAGCATCTGACATCGTCATATGCCCCCAGTCCTATCTTGAGACTACAGCTCTGAATTATACCTACTAGCTCTCTTTCTCTGACTGCATCTCTCTGCTCTCTTCTTGCTCATTTAATCTTAAAAAAGTTGGTGTGTTCTAAGTCTCTGCCTGATATACTTTCCCTCCTTTGTCTATTCTCCCTCCCTCAGTGGTCTTATGCTTGTCACCATTTTCACCCTTACCACTCAAGCAAATGACCCCCAAATCTTTTCCTCTGTCCTCAAATTCTGCCATGAAATGATTTTCATTTTAAACTGATGGCTGTATATCTCTCTCCGGGTGGTGGATCCACAACACCTCCCTAAATATGTCAAAAGCATACAGTATCTTTTTCTTAAATTAGCAACTCACAAATGGTCTATTTCTATTAACTCCGGAACAAATGAAGTCTAAATCCTCAGCCTAGCATTTAAGGATATTCATGATATGGCCAAAAACTACTTGTAAAGATTTTGCTTCCTCTACTTGTACAGCAAGCTCTAAGCACAAAGTGCTCTGCTGTTACCCTCTGAACATCACCGTGGAACCTAATCTTAGAGGAGCTGGGATTATAACACCAATGCATGCTACTGTTGCTCCTAGAATTCTCTTCTCTCTTCTACACTGGACAAGATTAAGCCAATCAGAAGTCTTGAGTGAGTATCCTTATTAAATGTGTCCTCCATTCTTCAGTCTCAGATTTCACTTTGTATTACTCTTAAGGTACTTGCCATTTTCTGTCCTTTCATAATGTGTGCATGTGTCTTATCCTCCCTACTATATTGGAAACTCCTTAATAAGAGGGTGTGTGGCCAGGCATGTTGGCTCACGCCTGTAATCTCAGCACTTTGGGAGGCCGAGGCGTGTGGATCACATGAGGTCAGGAGTTCGAGACCAGCCTGGCCAACCTGGTGAAACCCTGTCTCTACTAAAAACACAAAAATTAGCCGCTGTGGTGTGTCTATAATCACAGCTACTTGGGAGGTTGAGGCAAGAGAATCGCTTGAACCTGGGAGGTGGAGGTTACAGTGAGCCAAGATAGCACCAGTGCACTCCATCCTGGGTGACAGAGTGAGATCGTATCAAAAAAAAAGAGCGTATGTCTTTTCACAGATGTACAACAGGTATTTATTGTTTAGAATCAACAGTTATAATTAGTATAATAGATGCATTTGACATCTCAATACATGTTACTTGAAAATCCATTATTTTTATCACCCTTAAAAGTAAAAGAAAAGCTGATAGCTATTTATGCTATGATATATTCAACACCCTCAGTAATCATTATTTAAAAACTATATCTCTGGTTTGTGAACATATAATGTGAGAGAACAGTTTATCAAGTAGATTAATTTTTAGGTACATCAAAATTAATACAATCATTAAATAAAGTATATTTAAGCAATTAAATTTTTAGAATATAAGTAAGTACAACAGCAAAATCTTGTAATGCCTAGTGTCAAAGTCTAGATTCGTGAATTAATTGGTTATAATAGGCTGTGATTGGAAGTGAAACTTCCTGCAAAACCTATTTTTAACACCTCAGTGTATATCACCTGGTATTCTTTGTCTAACAGAACTGTACCTTTAAATACAGCTAATGCCAGATGGTCTCCTCAATAAAAAACAGCAGGAGGCAACATATTAATGCCACTCAACAAGCAAGTCTGCAGACAGCCAGCCAATGAAATCAGTCTTCAGTTGCTAAGCCGTTCTGTCACCATGGCAACACCTACTTCAGAAAAAACAGTGGATTTTCAAGTCAAATGAGCCACCCACCTTAAAATTCCAGATCCTCCAAGCTATGATCACCAGATACTTTAGTTAAAAT